TCGCTGTTTCGCTGAGCGAGAGTATAGACTATCAAATGCCTTAAAAGATGTACCTCCTTTTCTTTACGGATACATCATTAATTGTGAATCCAACATTATTAGCGGTCGGATAACTTTTGCTAAAAATGATATCAAAGCAAAGAGAAACCGTGATCTTTCCCTTAATCGCAAGCTTTGTTGGGTAGCGATCGTCATCTGATAGCAAGAAGTGAACCAAATTCATCTCCTTATAATCACTCCACTTACCCTTCTTGTCGAATNAAAATCCTATTTAGAATTAGAGATTTCGTTAATGAGATTTCTATGGATTTCCGGTTATGTTTCTACAGAAAAATACGCGTCTAGTCTGGAAAAAAGGTTAAATGCAGGGTACTTTCTGTAAAAATTATTCGTGAGCAGAAAGTTTACTTGCCCACGAAGCCTAACCTCTCTCCTCCCTCAGTTGGCTGCGAACCGATGGTTGAATCGTCCATAGTATAGGGATTTAGTATGACAGTGAAGAGTCAGGAGAACGCTTTTTACGACCGCTCCCAGCAATGTTTGTAACTTAGTGAAGGAACATGGCTCCTCTTCGCTTCGATATCACTTTTGGCAAGACTTATCCGACCGCTAATGACCTTAGATTCTCATCTAATGAAATATATGTATCCGCTTCATTGATAACGCATTTAATCATTTGCCTACGTGACTTTTGGAAGGATGCACAAACGGGCATACAAACGGACACACAAAGTTAGCGGTTTATATATATCATGGATTATGGTTCGTTTTGTAGCTGAATGAACCTTGCTCTGCACTACCGGGAGCCCGACTCCAATAAAAGTTAGGTTCATTAATTCTTAGCGATAAACCCAAGTGGCTTAGTGGAAGGGCTAAGGTCCACGGTAATACTCCTATGGCCTTGCACAACTGGGAATTTCAAAACCACATTAAAGAATACCCTTGATGCCTATTATCCATGCAATCAGCAGTCTTTTCTTTTAATTGTGATATCCAAAGGACCATACCTGATCTCTTGATACACTGTTGTTCCACTTATCAACGAACGCCAATTTCCTCATTTGATAGATTGCCGTGGCACATCCAATAGTCGCTATCATGTACTGCAAAGGATTATCTTTCAGTGCCATTCAAGCGTGAGAATAATCAATGGACTAACATGAATCAGTAAAAATTCATCGCTTAAGCTTGATAACACCGCATTTGGAATATGAAGTAAAGCTTTTTGTGAGGCTCATTTTCTGGTGTCGGAACGCAGCTTAATTTTGCGTTGTACGAGTGGCAAAAAAACTAGGAACTCTTTAATTGCTAAGATGTCTGGTAAATGGTGGGAACCGAAATGCAGGGCTTTTTTAAGATAGTATCTATACTCTTCTCAGCATATGACGACATGCTCATGGAACGTCAATAGAATGTAGTCGCAGGGATAAGCGGCAATCCTGAACGGCACGCCACGAAACCAGGGAATTAGGGAGAACGTCCGTTGCTCGCGTCCGTCGAAACTAGGTCACACCGCCCATCTCGCGCGCGGCGCACCACACTGAGGTCTCGAGATGACATTACAGTACCACCCAGTGTCAGTGGAGCGAATGATTTGCATTTGCCTGTGATGTCTTCGCTTGAACTAACTGTGATGGACTAAGCGCAAATCGTGTGCCCCACTGACAACTGCGACGTCCATCAAGTATCGCGGTCTGACCCACCGCATGCGATGGCTACGGCGTGACCTAGTTTCGAAGGACGAGCGCAACGAAGCGCACGCGCGAAATAGCTAGGAATGGCCGCCATTTGTAAGCTGTTTAAGCGCATACGGAATCCTATCCGGAACCTGCTGACAGAGAAATCCGCTGTAAATTCCATCTATTTATTTCATATAGTAGCCTTCCCATTCGAAGGCATATCATAAAAAAGGATAAAGTCTTGGGGCGTTAATCAATCCCGTCTAAGGGATGCGCCACGGCACTCGATTTCCATTCAGAATCGTAGTAGCGAAGTAAGTGCGTATGTCGCCTATACAATGACTTGCGGTGGTCACCCGTTGCACAAGCCAGTCGCCTATTACCTCCCAGTCTAGCCAGCCTCGCATTCGAGCCTAGAACTAATCAATCTAACACGGAGGGATAGAAAGCCTAGTTGGTCTAGGAGGATATCGATCCGGGATTCGAACCAGTGATCGTGCATGTGAGAGAGCGCATCACTTATCACTACGCCACTTACGCCGTAGGGAAAACCATATAGCTGAATAAGACAGGGATGCAGCCTTTTAAGCAACAGAAAACAGAAAGCATCTGTGCATGGAACTGTGTAATTATCCATGGACCACGGCTTTTTGAGTTTTTTCGAAGAGGGAATCAACTGTATTTGTCTAAAAATGTTCTTTAATGATGATACCTGTGAAATGTCTGTGAGAGCATACGCAAAGGCAGCGTTCTTGCTTTTTCCAAGAATTGAGTAACCATAGTAGACCAGCATCGAGGTGAAAGTCGCAGCAAGGAAAAGTAATCCAAGGAATAGACCTGAGGAACCTCATTGCCGATTTTTGTGAGACCACCGGATCGGCCTAATCTCACCAGTTGTCGTATTCGAGCAATCCATTCTGATACGGTGCTTTCGTTTCACATATTCCGAACCATGACCAACTTTCCCTATATTTCTCCACACAATATACATAACTGCTGCTGCGATCAGAGAATATTCAACGATTGCCGTAAACATCACTTCCGAAAGGCTTCCTGCAAGCAAAAATGGTGAGTTTCTTAGCGGTTCCACCCACAGTTTATGCTTTTCAAGGTTAGTAGGAGCATTCACAGCAATGTCCACCACCACTACTGTTTGTCTTCTGTGCTCTAAGCAAAAACCAAGGAAAGCAGCTTATTTGGAACTCACTGATGGCAGTGAAATGAGTACAGCTATCACAAATTGAAGACTGGGACGCTGCCGCTAAAAACCGCACACGGTTTTAACACCTTTCAGGATGCTCAATGTTCATCTTGTCATCGACTACTGACAGTTGATATTATCTTTCCTCATCTGGATGTGGGAATTTATGCCCAAGCGGTGTGCAGTCGTAGGAATTTACCGAAGGATTAGATCATGAATGTATCGGTCCGATTTGGACGACTGTTCCCAATCAGGCATCACCGTCACTACATTTTGATGGCGTGGGACAACTGTCAAAGAAAGACTCTAGTGGAAGGGTTTCGGGCATAAATTCCGCCACCCTCCCTGTCTTACATGCACGTAGCTGAAGTAAGTTTGCGAGAACGTTTACCCAGTATGCATTCGGCAGCACGGCAACTGCCCATAATGTCGATATCTCGATGTTCGAAGGCGTTAGCCGATACCTCGTCCATTTCTGGACTGGTGCGATTGCTTATCGTTTTGAATACGTCTCTGAAAGTCAACGATGCCAAAACACAAAATCGTGATTAAGGCAAGGTTACCTGATTTCCTTCTCCATAACCCCTTCCTCCATCAACACGTATCGAATCCATGTCCATAAGTTGGCTGCCATTAAATGCATGGTCCCTAATCGGGCTGCAGTATGGTGACCAGTGATGGATAGCTACAAATTGAAGGTTCCAGGACAAACACTGCCACAACCCTGTCTCCTATGACAAAAAGGATCTCTCCGTTCCTGAATTCAATCTACACCCATGAATTAGCAGAAATGGGGCAATGCAAAAGGACCATATTGAATTTCTTGAGGAACCTCAAAGCTTTCAGTTCCTGGACTCTGAGGACCACTAAGTTCAACATGAATTTGAGATAATGGGGAATGTGGTACTGATATTATTGTCGGGGACATCGGATGCATGGTGCATCCAGTGGGATCAATCCCGATCACATAGTCGTTATAGGTCTATCCAGAATGACCCGCTTTACCAGAAAATTTCATAAAAGCTTAAGATGGTAAGATTCTCTGATTTTCAGCCCGTGAATTAAGCGGCCCACACATCCGACTCTTATTTGAAAATCTTGAATCCTTCAAAAATTTAATGTTTTAGGGTCGTTTCCATACGCATTTACTGGCATACAATCACTTGCAGAAAATGACTGATGTGGAAATCAGTACTTCAGTCTTTCTAGGTTGTTGTGGAGCCTATCGATTAAGTTCGCAGGGATAAGAAGCCTAGTTGGTCTGAGCGAGTACGATCCATCTTGAACGCACAAGAGTGTTAGCAGTTTCCCTCGGGACTAACCACAATGTCATGTAAAGTCTCGAATTCGTGACAGTACGAAGCAAATTTCAACGGAATAGAAATTGAATTGGCATTGTTTAGGTAATGATCGCCCAGCAATAAGCCTCAAGTCAATAGAAAAGACGAGGCTCAATGATGGTAATCCCACGCCTGCATACACTACCTATCTCGAGTACTATGAAGTGCATATCACCCCATCGATTTCTGAGAGCTTTCCCGTTAAATTAGAAGTATGTTATGTAGTGTGTGATAAAAAATGCAAGTCATCAGCTCACCTTGGAATTACAGAAAATGAAATGCATCTGCGTGAAAATAAAAACAATGGCGCAGACGTCAAGAGCAGTCGACCAAGAAGAGCAGTTCGTATCGGAACTGCACAGGAATACGAGAAATGCATAGTATACGACACCAGTCACTCCAAACACTATACGAGAATACTTTTAGATCACTGTTGGAAAGAAAAACATGTTTAATGTAGTATTCCTCACCAACACATCCTAATCTGAGAAACAGACTGCCTGCTGAAGATCCTGAATGCGTTACTTTTCTTACAGTGGCGACCGCAGAGGAAATAGAGGAATCGCTTGATTTGGACTGGTTCACACATCTCTGAAAATAAGCACCATATTAGGACCGTGTTCCCCTGTAACCCCTTGATCGAATAGAAAAGTATAAAAAAGGTAATGAATAAAGTAATTAAATCAATAGAAAATCAACCAGAAGGCACCACCTATGGTTAGCATTCGGGTGCTGCTGGTTTCACGCCAGCATCAGCTGCACAAAAGGGCATCATTCACAAAGACGACAGCACGTGGGTTAACTATGCATCTCCGAATCAACTGGGAACATGAAGCGGTGTGCCTAGTTAGGCTCCTTCTCCTGTGGTGACTTTTTGAGCTAGAGGTTTCCTACGCCAGAATCTACCTCAACATCTGTGATAGTCATGCCCTTTTTTCAACGTCCAAACCACTGGGCGAGGTTCGTTCTTTGGGACTTTTTTTTAAAATAAATTGATTGCACGAGATGAGGGCCAGGTAGTATAAAATTTCTAGGTAAGGTACATAGTCAGCTCTTCTCCGGATGTTTCCCAGGCCTTTCGTTGGCAAATCAGGATTGAGCCTGATTTTACTAACTTTGCTTTCATTCACGCGCAAGTCGTGACCGTATCGTCAAAGGTGAACTGTGAGCATTGTACATATTAACGACAGATGTAATCGCTTATTGCTTTGATATGAAAGAGACCCAACCACGTAACTTCAGCTCTCCTGCGCAGAATTTCGCCCCCTTCACAATGAGGCGTGATCCAATTGCTCAAATCACAGGCCAGCATTCCTCTCCGCACATCCCTACCGGTCCTGAGACGGTTTTTTTGGATCTTTTATTTGAAAAGCTTTTGTACTTTTTTGCAGTGTGAAAGCTAGCCCAGGCCGCACTCACACATTGATCCACTTCCGGAACCAGACTTCCATCAGACATCACCGTCGATTCGAGTTTAAGCTCAGAGCCGCTAATCCCGGTAGAGACTTGCTTCGTTTACTCTGAGCCCCCAAATTGGCATGTGGTCGGACCAAACATAATGTTCGAGTATGTCCTGCTCTTGCATGCTAGTACTAACAATAAGTCGAAATAATGAAGACGATGCAGGCCCCCGAACATTCAATGAAATAGTGCCTCTGAACAGTGGGGAGAGCGCGAGGCCTTTATACACCTTAAAAAAGTTGGAAATTTTCAGAGACGTAGCCGTTGACGCTTGCACGCCTGGGTGAAGTATGCAAACCTCCCTTCTCGTACCATGTAATTTTTTCAAGACCAATGTCCTCACGATGCAATTCAAAGAAGGGATAAGCGGCGTATTTTGCACTGGTGGCATTGTAACCGAAGACATCACATCAAGACAAATCGCTGTCTTAAGCCCTCCAAATCAAAAGCCCAGCTTTTGCTTTTGTATTTGGCAGACTAACAAATGATTAACGAAGACGAAATCTTGCTAGCGACTCTTCGCGTAATCTATTACGAGTTGCGCTTACTAGCTTTCGCTTGATGTTATCTGATTATGAGGAGTAAGGGACCCTCTAACTCCTAAAGACTGTGTAGATGCTAGTATGATGTGGAAATTACCTTTATTACGTCGATAGTCCAATACCACCGGGGATCCAGTAACAACACCACATACATGTATACGAAGAACAATATCGATGCCCCGTACATGTACATTCCAAAAATCTGAAAGCATTCAGCAGACTTATGGGGGAAGACACTTATAAATCAGAACGGTAAGATTCTACTAACCATATCTTTCGTACTAATCTCCCTCTGTTCTTCTCCAGAAAGCAAATGGGAAAGTTCGAGAACAAGGGCGAAAATTGTTAGAAACAAACTGTAGAAAGCAGTGAGAGCCGTGAACATTCCCACTCTGAAAAAGAACCTATCACAACTCAGATCCTCCATGCAACAACCCCTTGTGACAATTACCTTATCTACCTTCAAATAATTTCATATTTTCAAGCATAGTATTTATCCTGCTTTGAGCTTTGACATGAATCAGAAAAACTTTTTTCGCCTTTCTACTGATCGTAGGTCCAGAACTGCTCCCACAACTAGTTCCATGTTTACTTCAGAAAAACGCAAACGCCCCTTCGAATGCCTATGACCCTAAGGGTTGTTTGAATGTATTTACATGCTTTCTTACCATACGACAAGTGGGTGGCACTCATAGTAGCACACTTTTTCATCATCAAAAGCTAACTTTACATCTCACATTTCATTTAAAGCGAAGGGTGTAAAGGAAGCAGGGGAGGGTGGCGTTAAGGCAATTTGCCTGAATTACACAGACATGGTCACGGGATTGAATCCCGCGCCGACCGATCTAGACCACCTGACGGCTTTATCCGCTATGATCGTTAGATGGTACCAGACGTGGGAGGATATAAAGACCGACTTTCACACCGACTGGCCACTACCCTCATTTTCATAGGATACATGTGCAATCAAACGGCGCTACGATTTTGGATGGAAGTCAAATGCAGGGGTCATCCCAAAAACGGTATAGATTGACGCCAAAGAGTTCAACTTACTATGAACTGGGCAAGGATTCCATCTGGCTACAATATATGCATACCAGTCAAGACGGAGCTTAACTATCGAAGACTGTGATCTAGTATTTACCGTAGGTCCTTTCAAATACAAAACTCTCTCACTGATCCCTCGTTAAGGGAATGACCCTAGCTTCTTCCCTGGTAATGCTGAACTGATTCAAGATCTGCAGCTTATTTGTAGAGTTAAGTCAGTGGGATCACTGGAACAAAACTTGAAAGACCACACCAACTCAAAGCCTGCTTTCAATTCTTACCGTAAGAAAACACCTGATGCACCATGACTTTGAAGAAGCACGTTCTAAACACAGCACATTCCTCGTCAATTCACACTCATTTTCGTATTCATCTAATACTTTGGAAAGACCTTTGTCGGGCCTTCCTATGTGAAAAACTTACTCACTTTGCTTCCCTACTCTTGTTCCAAGTCTCCTCTGCTGAGTTTCTTACATCAGAATTGTCATCAACACTTTCGAATGATAATGAGGAATCTTCCCGTCGAATTTGTTCGTTCGAAATCGATATACTCCCTTGAAATATATCTTCCTGAAAACAAGTGGGAATCAATGGNAATTCCTACATAGCACTGAAAAGCAAGCACAACGGAGCCAAATAAAAATAAAAAGTTGAACGACCACTCTATTTATGGCATCTAATGAAACCCTTTTGAAAGCAGTAGGTGCGATATTTCGAAAGTCAAAAAAGCGGATGTGGAGGCACAGGTCTGCCAATGTCAAAAATACCATTAGAAACTCAGCAGTCCTTTAAAAGTATATCTTTCTCCACGATGTACGTCCTCGGATATGAAAGGGGTATGATAAAATCGAAATGAACTGGAGGTTGATGAATTTCCACTTTCTAACCTCAAGCACACCCCACTACGACACCCGTTCCTCAGCATCAATCTCACAGTATTTCATGTGTTTCCCAAACCGACCAGTCAAGGGTGCCTCCGTGGAGGTGAAGGCTTCATACGGTGTTGGCAGGGTACTCGGTCGAGTGCTTTTTTTGCCACCCATTCTAGAGCTGATACGATTCCCAGTGCAAGCTGAGACCATTCTGATGATCTTCCGTTTTGTCATTTACGTATTAGTTGTCGGGCATTTGGGAAGGATATTCAAGAAAACAGAAATGTTAAGCTGCTAGACTTGGATCTCTTTGGACCAGAACCTTTAGAACCTTTTTTCAAATGACACCAATCCGATTCCCAAAAAGGTTTTTTGCTGGAGGTAATCATTTTTGAGTTCTGGCTACTATGCTGGCGAAACGATTTTCTTTGGGAAGCACTAATTTCTAGTTGAAACCCTGATTCCTAACATGGCTTTCCTCTCCCCAGTATTCGGCCTGTTCTGTTGAGCAAGGATGATGAGAAGAGTTTCCTTTTGTAAACAGTGAATAGAGCGGTTAACGGTTGCAAATAACATCTAAGTCATCCTTTCAGTCCTACCGATTCCACTTAAAAAAGGTACTTAACATTCCGACCGGTACCGCGATAGACCGTCAAACCTTACCGCAAGTCGTTGTATACGCGTCAAAATACTCCTACGATTTCGAATTTAGGCCGAATGCGGGGCGCACCCCAACAGCGAGACTGGTAAGCGGCGAATACACAATATTACTTGCCCCTTAGTACAGTCCTGAAACTCTACTAGCTTCTATCGAGTGATCCGCCGGATTGACTGCAGCGGGGCTGCCTAAGGTTAAGGCGAATGGAGTTCATTTATATAACCTTGGGCATACATATATGCGACCATGGAAGTCTTGTCAGTCACTGAGTGAGGGTAGTGCCTGCTTGTGGCACTGTTTTCGTGTTTTGGAAAGTCCCCATAACCAACCCCATCCCAGCGTGGTGATGGAAAGGGCTCCACATCTTCTTTTTTTAAATAACAAGGAAGCTGGGAAGCTTTCATCAAAAGCATCCTCTTAATTTTTTTGCCAGTTCAGGAGGCCTTCGTGTCCAGCGACATTGACGAGGGACAAAAGGTACTCGTACGGCCTCTTGACGACATTACGAGAAATAAATAGGCTCTATAGTCACGAATAGAGTCTTGTGAAAGAGCGTGCTTTTTTTACTATTCGAACGTGGAAGTGCCCATTTGCGGTTGCACACAGTAATCGATGGTTTCGCTCAATGAGCAAAGCGTTTGGACAGCTAGCAGTTTTATAGAAATGGGATCTACTACGTATGATATCGATCATTACTGATTGATTGGTATCAACGAGTTCGAAGAAAGCAACTTCGATCTGCCCAATTCTCATGTCTAATTGGAGCCACAGAGGGTGATAAAATTATTGTGAATAGAGATATGGAAAGAAACAATTGACTCGATAGTTTCGATCGATATTGAACTATCTTCATCACTTGTTAGTCTCTACAAAAATAGAGGGTTATCGGCGGCTAGTGTAAAGCTAATTTGATAGCTCAATAAGCACCGAGTAAATTAGTACACCGAATTGTACCTGAAAATAGTACTTAACAAAATAAAGCATATAAGAACCCTGCTAATAGTAAGAGTAGTGTCAAGTACTTGTAGGGTACGGCGTCCTTGCCGACCCAGTTCTTGAACTTTGTTCTAAATTGCTATGATTACGTGCGGAGGGTCAAGGAACATTTCAGAAAAGAGACAAAATAATCTGTAAATACGCTGAGAAGGCACTTCGTCAAGAAACAGTCACGATTATTATTGATATGACTGTGCGCTTGAGGAAGAAGGAGTTGGAGTAGTAGTACGTAACGCCACACAGTTCAATACTGGATGGCTACTTGCAAGAGCAACTAAGCTTCTTTCTTTTTGAGGTCACATCGTTGGCCGCCGTAACTTACTGTGTAGATAACATGCGCATTTAGACGTCGCTATGAATCCGAATAGCGGCAGAAGGCATGGCTTATCCCAAGAAAAAACGAAATCAATCAGTTCGCAAGTTCAACCTTTTTCCTCCCATCAATTGGAAAATTTAGCGTACAGTGAATGAACACTGTAACAGCATCTTGGAAGCTTTAGTCACTGAGTTTTAAATAAACTTCCCTCATCGAGAGCTGGTACAGAGCCTTCCCATCCAGTCAGCGCAAGAAGTAACAATTAAATAAGAGTACTAGTGCAAAAAGTAGCATCTGGGACTTAGCCGGCTCGGTTCGGGAAGTCTTTAACAGACATCAATTGGTAACTCTTTGATTGAATCTGGCCATTGAGAGTTTCCTAGACAACAAATACTCATTTAAGTGCTTCTAGTTTTCAGATAAACGTTAACACCAAAGCTCTACCCAAGGTTTACTATGAAAAAAATCTCTCTTCATTCTTCAAACCTTCCCTAAATTTTGGTGCTGAAGCATTCAGACAACCGTTCATACTTTTGTGCTTATCGAGCTCTTCCCCTTAGAACTAAAAATACTGAAAATTTATATAAGGCTGATAAGCTATGGGCAAACTATGAGCTAATGACACAAAAGACTTCTTACTCCGACCAAACTCGATCCCGCATATGTGCGTGCAGGGCACCCGGGATCCTCACATTTTTATCCCTTAACTGTAACGCTATATGGATAATAACACCAACTTATGGCACCTCAACATTTCGGTTTTTATTTACATGTTGCCCGTTGACACCTTATCACAGAAGATCCATTTGGTTTCAAGAGGCTTTGGAGTCAACAGAATTTTGAAAGCTAGTTTTTGCCATCAATAAGAAAAGATGACTTAGAAAAGAAAAGTCATTACAAACTCGAGTGGTCAGACCACGGAAAAAACACAGAAGCAAACAAAAACATCTTACCGTATTACCCTTTTCTAAAGCCATCGCTCCAGGTCGATCGTCTTGCGAATGTTCTTGCCTGGGGCGTTCGTCGACTACAGTCGTCTGGATATAAGGTTCCAAACTGGAAATGATAGAAATATGATCTCTTGGTAAAGAGAAAAATATGAAGGAAGAGCTTGAAAGATACCCATGTCACCTGCTCTGAAATGGGCTATGATAAAGAAAAGTGGGTACCCACTCGAAATTCGAGGAGTGTATCCAGGTGTGGACAAACTCGGGATCAGGCGACTGTGCTCGGCGAGATTTTGACGAGAATTTTCTGGTTTTTCGGCGAAGATCAAGAGGATCGAGGCCACTTTTGGAATCAGACCTTTCTTTGGAACCTGTAAACAAATTCTTCTGGCAGAGTTCTTAGGAATGATAGACGATCTCACAACCAATAGAAGAAAAATGTTGTATAGGCAGTGTTAGAATAGGAACAACTCGTTACCATCTTCTGGTCGAGTAAACCAGAGAACGTTTTGGTTGTGATAAGAACAATCTGAAGACATTGCCCAATCAAGGACCAACCATCAGCTCAAAATTCTCAAGGGCAGTTACCAC